CCACCCCTCAGGCCCAAGCTGGGGAGCAGGGACAATAAACTTTATAATTTGTCATTCCCCTTCACCCATAGATGCTTTATGCCAAAATTGGTTGAGATTGGTTGAGTGGTTGTAGAGAAGAAACTGAAAATGTTCAAATGTTAAGGCACGATGCACAACGCACGAGGACGGAGGAAAACGGATATGAAAATCAAATACAACACGCAGATCTAGAACAGATCCTTATCTGCTGTTTTGTTTTCAGATGAGGACATGTGTTTTGGCTCTTTTGCTGTGTGTTCTCACCCTTGGAGTGGTGGATCACGTTGTCAGTCAGGACTCCGTTGGCCCCTGTATGAGGTCATGCAGGACATCCCAGTGCTCCAGGAATTGTAGACGCAGGGGATTCCGCTTTGGATTTTGTATTCCTTGCTTTCCCGGAGGATATAGATGTGTATGCTTTTAGAAAGAGATGTTGTTGAAGTGATATTGAGAATTTGTCACTTCAAAGAAAAAAAAAATTTACGGAATTTAATTTAATTATTCAATAAAGATTTTAAAAATACCCAGAATTTGGTTTTGCTCCTTTTAAATAAACATGGGCATAGTTGCAGCCAATAACTTCCAAATTCATTTTCCATTTGTATATGTTTAGAAATATATAATTTAGGTATTTTCTGTTGTCAAGATACAAGACAAATTTAGAGTTCCAAACCTTCGTTATGTAAACAGATTCCATGTCATTTTTTTTTATATATAATATGTAATATACTGTAAACTTATTACATTTGACTGAGTCTTCTTTTTAGCGCTTTTGAATCTTCCGCTAATTCAAGTATAACGCTACATGTATTGCACACAAACACATAAATAACGACACTGAGAAATGCACAAAATCATATCTATGCTAAATTGTTCAAAGATCAATTTCCGCCAAATATCGTACACGCCGACTATACATGTAATACATTCACTGTAGTAATTTTTGTTCGTTCAAAGCAGAATGTTCACTAAAAGAAGGTTAATTCTAAATAGAATTTTACTGTTTATAGTGATTTGCTGATTCAGGTATTATTATAAATATATATTAACATTTAGTGAATTTTTTAATGAAATCCACTAGAATTTTACGATGTTCAAATTTCGATAACACTTGAGAAACCTTGTCTCGGCGCGGAAGAATACTCAGACGGAATAACATGTATCGCACATGGCGGTAAATGCAATTATTGTTTTGACACAGTTAGATTAAACAAACAACCCAGTAAAAATATAACAAATGTGCTTTAAAAATTAATTTACAAAAATGTGCGTTAAAAATTAATTTACAACAAATGTGCGTTAAAAATTAATATGCCATTTTTCTTCCCGCAATGTCATTTGCGTTATTTAACTTTCCAAAGTCACAAACACAAAAATATTATGGCCAAGGTTAAAACATTTTAAGAAAAGGTCAATTTCTAAGATCAAGGTCAGAAGGTTAAAGTTATTGGTATTCAATAAAAGGTCTTGTCTTAAGGATTACATGTGTGAAGTATGAAAGCCCTTGCCCTTACCGTTCAAAAGTTATTGCAAAGGTTGATGTTTTTCCATAAGTCATGAAAACTCTAAGGTCAATGTCAAAAGGTCAAATTTATTGATAACCAATAAAAGATCTTGCCACAAAAAGTACACGAGTGAATTGTGGAAGCCGTAGCCCTAACCGTTAGAATGTCATGCATGGGTTAATGTTTTTTCAAAAGTCCGGAATTATCTAAGGTCAAGGTCAAAAGGTCAATGTTTTTGGTATCCAATAAATTTTCTTGACACAGAAAATACATATGTGAAGTATGGAAGTCCTAGCCCTAAAAGTTCAAAAGTTATGGCTAAGGTTAAAACATTTTAATAGTAGGTCAAAATCCAAGGTCAAAATGTCAAATGTCTTGATATTAAATGAAAAGTCAAATCAAAAGAAATTAAAAAAAATTAAGTATGAAAGCATTAGCTCTAAAATTTAAAAGTCCAAGGTCAAAGTCAAAGGGTCAGAGTTCTTAGTATTAAAATGAAGGGTCTTCTCACAAGAATTACATATGTGAAGTATGAAAGCCCTAGCCCTTACCATTCAATTATTGCCAAGAGTTAAAAACTTTTCATAAGTACGGAAATCCCCAAGGTAAAGGTGAAAAGTTAAAGGTTGATGGTATCAAATGAAAGGTTTTGCCACAACATATACATGTTTGAAGTTTGAATGTCCTGGTAACTACTGTTCAAAAGATAAAGCCAAAGAAAAAAGTTTTTTGTGTAAAAGTCGGTCAAAATCCAAGGTCAAGGTCAAAGGTTACATTTTGTGGTACCTAATGAAAAATCTTGAAATACACATATTAAATATGAAAGAATTCTTAATTAAAAGTTTCACAAAGATAGGATTCAAGGAGATTTAATATGACAAAAAATGTATAGGTTAATAAGAATGGTTACAGAAAGGTAAAAATTTGAAAATCATAGTAAGTTTGCAATTTTTTATGGAGAAAGGTACGAAAAAGCTATTTTTAGCATGTAGGTCACAGTCAAGGTCACCAGGTCATTGACCTTGGTGTCGTTTGAAAGAACTTTTTTAATGTAGTATGCATACTAAATATGAAGTCTCCATCTTTCATGATTCAAATTTTATGGCGAAGGTTAAAGTGTGCAGACAGAAATGCTATTTTTAGCATATAGGTCACATTCAATGTCACAAGGTCATTAATATTGGTGTCATTGGAAAGCACCTTATTAGTGAAGTATGCATACCAAATATCAAGTTTTTACCTTTCCTGGTTCAAAAGTTATGGCGAAGGTTAAAGTTTGGGAACAAACAAACTAACAAATAAACAAACAGACAGACAGACAGACAGACAGACAGGACAAAAACAATAAACGCCTCGGATCTATCGATCCGGGCGCATAAAAATCACATGCGCCGAAAATTCATCTACAGTGATATGTATTTATACCGGTATACGGCAGTTTTAGAGGTATTGGGCATTGAAAAATAAACTTAGTAATTCATTCCTAGAGCAAACAAGATGGAGAACTTTTTCAAAATTTCGCATTTTGGTGACTTTTCACGATAATTTTTATCTACTTGAATGAAAAAGAAATCTCTGGGGTAGAAATACAAAAAATAAGGGGAAAATGTGAAAATTTGGCACTTTTCTAACAAATTCCCATTGGGTCCAATAGTAAAATTCGACAACTTTTGAGATGACCCTTAAAGAAATCGGGATGATAAACATTCGATTTTTAATCTTAAAACAATAAATATAACACTTAGAATTACTTATCAAAAAATAATCAAAATCCCTAGGGCAGAAATAATTACACTCGGCCTCGTTGAATATTTTGGTTGAGATTCCTTGATTTTCGTTACAACATAAGTAAAAAAAATCCGAACTCATTTACCTTTTAAAAATCATATTTTTTCTTTTTTTTTCAAAATAAATATTGCGACTGTGGTTAATATTGACTCTATAACAAGGGGAGGGGGGGGGGGGGTAGTTTGAATTTAATAACGTTAATAATGTGTTGTCAATTCAATGTGTAAATAACGGCAAGAACAGCCGATATTTTGGAAATCTCCATGTTAGGCTAAAAATGATTGGTCGAATATGTTTTCGAAAGATATTTTAATCATTCTTGTCCTACCTTTAATCTCTAATGCAGTACTTAGTGAAATTGAGTGGACAACTGAAACTACATGAATATTAACTTACAACATGGGATAGGCGATTTGTTATTTTTTAAATTTGGAGTGTTTTAAAGGTTGATACTGTATAAATTTGGATTGAAATTATTTTTTTACATTTTACAATATTCTTTAAACCAAGTATCATATTAAATCCACCTGTGAAATACGAAGGTTATAGTTACTGTATTAATTATTCATAAATACTGCACCCCCATTTTATTTTCGCCCCTTTCACTTTTCTCACAATTGGGCTTATTAAAAACGGGGCAAATTCAAAAACACAATATACACTCTTAAACAGATTTGGACTGGGCGAATTTGAAACGTGAGCAAAAGTAAAAGGAGAAAATACCAACGAAGTCAAAATAGCCCTGTATACAGTACAGAAGTGTCCAGTACAAGGCAAGTTCTTTCTCCTTTATACGATAAGATATAGGAAAATTCTGCTTCACTTTAATACGAAAAAAAGTCTGCTTATAATGAAATGCAATTGGTATCAATAAGAAATCAAGTAGAAAATAACCATGTTTACAGTTATGTTCAAAAAGATTTTTTAACAGTGAGTAATTAAGTAAATTCACAATTTTTCAATCATATTTAGACGTCATCGCTTGCCGGTGGAGAGCTAAAATTTTTATCCTATACTTAACATTCAGGGCTATTGAGTAGGGAAGGATCTTTTTCGTTCCAGGAACTTCTACGTTACGGAACCTCGTTCACAACGCCCCACAAGCTAGAGTGAGATTCGAACCCGTGACGTAGGATTAATTCCTTACTTCGCGAATCTTGAGCAGACACTCTATCCACTGCTTCACGCGGGCGACCATGTCTCAGGTAGATTAGGAAAATAAAATTATTTTTTATGCTAGTTATAATTTAATTTGAATGAAATCCTTAATGTACGTGAAACCTATTTAACTTCTTTAAAGAAACGTAATGCTGATATAGACACTTTAACTTTAAAATCTTGCGCAATAATTTGTTTATTTATGTGTATATCTAATAGAAACGTGTTATGTATATTGGTAAAATATGTAGTAAATAATGCTCAAAATTTTACACGGCATTCATGATTGTTTCCATTTTAGACAACTTGTCCACGATTTTACTGGACAAACATTTTAGAAATACAATTCTGATTATTAAGCATTTTAAACAATCGCAGCTCTTTAACATGGTTTTTAACTTCATTTACGGAACATATAAATAAAACATAGAATAATGCTTGCATCACTATATATTTGAATTAAATACGCAAAGACAGTAACTTTAATGTTGAATACACATTTTTGAAAAAAATAATAAACTGGAAAGATTTATGATTTAATCCTTTATTTATTTATAAACCTTTTTTAAAAGATTTTTTTTTTTCAACCTCGAAACCGTCCATAACACTTGCACTTGAATTTTCTTTTTCTTGGGCAGAGTAGTGATCTTGAGCATGCGCCGCTTATGTAACCCTTTCCTCGGCATTCCCTCATACATTGCCTGTTATTGCATCGACGACGACAGCGCTCCCCAAGACAGGACACAGGTTCCATGAATAATAATGTTAGAAGGCAAAACACAACAAGTAAGGTACAGGTCTTCATCTGCAAAATATAAATATTTTTTTATAAGAAAGCCATATGATTATAACGAATCCCGGGAATTAGGTGACTTTACATAAAAATTATAAATTTTAATCCTTTATTTGAAAAAAAATAACAAGATGTTCAAATATTTTCATATCTTCTAGATACGATAGAGATAAAATGTTTAAATATCATTAGGTTAATGAATTTCTTAAACATTATTCTAGTCTTAATGATATAATCTTGAGATGTATTTAATATTCATAGTGTAAAGAAGTATTCTAATTAAAAATCACGTTTGGGGGCGAAGGCAAAGAGCGACATTGATGACGGCCTTATATAATTTATTATTTGAATGTCTCTTTTACTACAATTTTCTAGAATTTTTCAGACTTACAGAGATATTAGCATATATCGGTGAACGGTGTGAAATTTTAGAATTGAGCTCTGAGGAATCTGAATCGTACCAACACTTGTCGAAACATGTGGCCTCAGTTTTTAACGTGTCATCCAAAGGACCCAAAATGTCACTTTAATTTACCGATCACATGCTAACAGCTGCTACGTTTATTTTCTGCTTAGACCATTCGCAGCCGAGATTCGAACTCACAAACTTTCTATCACGGAGCGAGCGCTCTATCGACTGAGCTGAACTGGACGGTAAGGATAAATATAAAAGCTGTGGATTTTGTTTTCGATTTGAAGTATCCTAAGCAAACAAAAATCACTTTATTCCGAATATGAAAATTCTCAAACATAGCGTTAAGATTTTCAGGATAACAGTTTACAGAAGAAAAATAAAAGAGTCATTTTCCCACACAACAATAATTACGGTGATTTTTTCTGTCAAATTAAAAACGAACTGGAAAAAATTATTGTTATCTTATTTTATTTCATAGGACTTGAAAAATCAAACATGATGTATAGAATGTAGCAGTATTTTGAGCAGTGTTTTAGCGAAAAAGTTCAGAAAACAATACAAAATAGGAACAGAGTAAATAAGGACTTCCAAACCAAGAGGTTTGCAAGGTGTAATAGAGGAGTGAGCATCCCCTGCCGACCGGTCACACCCTCCATGTGCTTGGGAAAATAACGGAAAAATCCGTCGTCAATAGAACTTGTGAATAATAGACCAGCAATTTGTATTAAAACCATCAATAAAACCATCAGTCAGCGTTCTATTTCCTGACACTTTTTACTTAAGATATGTTTAAATTTTACTTTTGAGAAATAAGAAATCTAAATACCCTACCTCTAAATTCAGCTTTTTATCTCACTGATCGATTGTTTTTTTATGTTTCAGTTTTTAATCACTTTCGTCCTATTATATTGATAATGCAAACATTTCATTGGTTGTTTAAATTATTTTACTGTGTTCTATTTCCTTGAGCAAGATGAGGGTTTTTTGTTTTTAGTTTTTTACTGAATCAGATGCAAAACCTTTACCGAATGCAAGTCATTTGGATAAGAAAGCTATATTTTTTGTTATATTTAGACAGAAAATCGTAACAGACAAAAATTATTAAGTGCTTAATTTTTTTGTTATTTACCATTATATTATTATAATTTTTCATATCATCGCTTTTTTTTCTTTATTTCTATTAAGTAATCACTATACAACAATAGTACAACTTTTAATTCTAATGCCTTAAATTTAAAATAAACATTAAACATCAAATGATGAGAATAAATTATTTCATGAGAGAAATATTAGATCAATTACATATAAAATCGTCAATATTCTTATCCTAATCATTTTTTGTGAGCTGATTTTTACTTTATTTTATTTTTATTCTAAAATACCCATGTCTGTTTACAGCACACAAACATATTTGATAAAATTTACTTTCAAATAAGTTGGTTGCCTAAGTGAGAATTATTTATAAGTAAAACTTAAAAAAATTATTTCTAAAATAAAATGAACAAAAACAATATTTAAAGAATAAATTTTATAGCTATCAAGAATCTAAGATATCATATTTAAAGAAATTGATTTTTAAAATGTTGTTTACTTTCCGTAATACGGAAATGTACGATCTAGTCATAGTAATATTTACATGCAAAAGTGATTTGGCGCTTACTTTAAATAGTGCTCCAGGCGTGAATTTGGTCATTGTAAAGTTTGTTACAAGATCTTAAGGACATTTTCCCTTCCCATTCCCACCCTATGAACTATGCAACGCATTGTATGTACTTATACAGCTAATTATTATATTCATGCACATGTATAAGTTTTTACTCATTCAAAATTGCCTTAAAATCAATATGGTTTGTTGGAAATTAGCATTTGATTTTATAACAATGTAAGGAGATTATTTGAATTTAAATTAGAGTTATTAAAATGAAAATAGAAATTAAATTCGAAATATGTTAACAGCAGGGTAACATTTAATTTCTTTTAACAACAGTTCGCTCGGTCGTTTTCTAGCACCTGTAGATATAACACAAATGTTATTCATCAAAATGAATAATGATTGCTGTAAGGGAAACCCGTATAATTTAAAACATCTGTGAAGATTTAAAAGTGATTGGAAAATCTACTAACACATTATTAATTTTATTTCTTCGTTTATTGATTATTATTTACCGGTATATACATAGTTCTGGTTGAAAAGTTTAAAGTTTCACCATTCACTAGTTTTAGTCTTTCAGTAATAAAAAAATATTTTAAATATATGTTTGCCTTCAGGACATTCTTTTCTTATTTAGTCCATATTTAGCATATTCTATGGTTAATAACGGTTAATTTGTTGACCTCCAAGCCTCCTTAAGCAAGAGTTGTACCCCATGGCCGCCATATTGTAGGACAACATTCAAAGATCCCTTCTTCATTTTTCAACCAAGTTCAATGGTTTCTGAGGTAAAGAAAACACGATTTTCCTTATGAATATACTTTTGTTAAAGCTTCAATTCATTTTTCATTCAAAGATTTTAAATATTTATATATTTCATGCATGCTTGTTTTAAAATTGGTTGCTCAAAGCGGTAAATTCACTACTTTGCCGTACAACATTGCGGCCAAGGGAATAGCTCCTAGGCAAAATTCAGAATAGGAAAAGTCTCTATTGTTACTTCCCTGTTGTTTCACTTACAGATGACCTAAAAATAAAAATTACCATAAGATTTTACCAGGTTTGCTTTGATTATAAAGAGTCATGAGAATAAATTCAACAGAGATAGATTGATGGATCCAGAATATGCTCCATTAAGCTTCCAACCTTCCTCCTGACAAAAATAGTATTTTCTTTAAAGAATTTCACCAAGAACCCCAAACGGCACGCAATGTTCTGCAGAATATTATAGAAAATGTGTAAATCAGATATTTATTCGAAACCGTCTAGTTCTAGAGTTCATTTAAAACAAATTCTCATAAATCGGTAGTATAAAGATATATACAACTTTTTTTGCATGTTATACAACTATTCATCATTTAGCTAAAATTACGACTTTCTTAATTAATTAAGTCACATTTTGTACAATGAAAAATGTCTTTTGTTCTCAAATAAAATATTATTTGCAATTGAATAAAAGGCCGTTAAATTGGATGCAATGTCTATATAAGTATTTTATTTATAAACTGTCCGTACATTTTCCAGACAGGTAATACTGTCGTGTGTTTTTATGCAGATTCATTGAAAAAGTAATGGAAGGGCCCTAATAAATCGATTTATTGCAAAGGCATACCCTCAATATATCTTGTCAATTTTGACACATAAACTCCAGAAGCATTAAGATATTTGAAAAGTGCTGCAAACCTCAAGAAATCTTGCAAATAAATAAATTAAAGCTATATTTAATGTAGTTAACCAGCAAAATATTAAACCTGCCGTCTTATTAATTTTAGAAATTAAAAAAGGAATCTACCATGTCTACATAGGTTCGCAGCACTTTTCATAAACTAAATATAGTTTTGAAAAGGATTATAAATTAAACCAAGATTTTAAACTTGGTTATGTCTTTGCAACATTGAAATATATAGATGACCTCTAAACTGCAAGTATAAATGCTAAAATCTGTATTTATTTCGGCCATATGTCAAAATGACTGAAGTGTTTATAAACGAGATGCTATGAAAGACCTGCGTGTTAATCAGAATCATACCAATTGGAAGCCAAAGAATGTCAAACGATTTAAGTTGAAAAAAAGAATTGAAGAAACATCCAGTCAGAACTTCAAGATTTATAGCACTTCTGTATGAACAAACCTGCAGCATACATGTATATGATATAATGTTTAGTTCAACTGAACCGAAGACTCATGTGTACTATTAGCTTTTTCTTATAAATTTTTTTCGTTATCTGTCGTTTTTGTTGTCATTTTTGGCATTGTAACCACAAACTTTCCACATTTTTATATTTTTTCTCAAGATTCACTGTATCAATTCTAATCAAATTCGCTACAAAGTATTCTTGGGTGAAGGGAATTCACGTCTGTTCAAATGAAGGGCCACACTCTCTTCCAGTTGGAGATAGGTATGAATTATTGAAAACTTTATTGCATTCTTTAAAAATATTCTTTTCAAAAGTTTCATATCTATGCCATCTTTAGTGTTACTAGCCATGGAAAACATTTAAGAAGGCTTTAGATTTCAGTATTTCAATGGTACATGTATATAGTGACGAAAAATTATATGTACATGTTACTCTACTTTGCCAGGTGTTTGGATAATTGATAGATTGAATTATACGTTCTTTTGACGTTTAATTAATCTTATTTGTTTTGTAAACAGCTCGAACAAACCCAAAGGGGTAAATTTAATGAAATGAGTTTGAGCAGTGTATATTTAACTGTTATAATATAAATGATAATGATGACTGCTTTCATTAATTTAAACCTCGCTCTATGAACATGTGTTCTTCTCGGGGCATTTAATCAAATTAAAAACAACCATTAGAAAATACAGCATACTTTTTAACAAGTGTCTTGTACGTAGATTTAGAAATCATTTTTTGTTTAGGTTGGAATTTGTCAAAACGTATATAGACTATTTGTGATAAAAATTTAACTCCAGTGTAAATAATCTGAAAATGTTTATCTGTGAATAGAACATACTTTATTCGTAGGAGTTAACACAATTTGCTCAATTTGCCTGCACATACTGTTGCATTTATGAGATAATATCTTTAAAAAAAATAACGAATCATTGCTTAACTTACTTAATGAAAATCAAGTTTAATTTTACCTGGAAATAATAAACTCAGAGCTTTGAAACAGTCAAATAGGAAGAAAACATTTGGAAACATTGAAATCGATTTTCGTTTATTTCCGGAGAAAAAAAATATTTTTTTTCATTTATGTTTTTGTTTGATCTTCAAAAGAACTTCACAATATAATTGTAAACACCCAGAACAAAGGGGGAGCAGCCATTTTAAGGTTTGTAGTGTGATACTATCAAATCTATTTTATATGTATTTATTCGTATTATTTATTTCTTTCATTTCGTTTTGAGATATATAATCTAAAATTCGATTGCGCATTTGGATTGAGTTGCCTGAGAAAACTTTTATTCTCTTATTTCATGATTTCATTGGCTCTTTATTTTGATTGATTATTTCCTATTTTTTCATCCAATGATACATTTTCATTATAAGTATAAATTTACCGCGCTTTACCTATGTATGTCAGAGCAGTTTTGAGTTTTCAAGAAAGAAGTTTATAATCCAAGTCCATCATAGGCATCTTATGGGATGTAACTTACATATCAATTATGTGTTTTCCTACCATTTCAAAATTCATTCGTAGAAAATAGAGAAATACCTCATAAGCATCCTACTAAGTTTTTTTTATCCTTATGGTAAAAATATTACCCTGTCGTCTCCAACAACCCATTGTGTAAAACATTGCTTCCGCTCGTTAGGCGTGAGGGAGGGAGATGAGTGGAAGGTTGAAGATTCAGTGAAAAGCAATCATGAAAATGTTAAAGTATTCTGCAGTAAAGGGAACAAGTGAAGAAGCAGTCTGTAGTTCTTCATGCAGTACACAGTGTTTGAGTATCATCACCTTAAACTGTTCTCATACTAGGATATCGAATACATTGTAAAGGTGTCTCATCGCTTATTTTCCCAGAAAAAAGATACCTGGAACCTTTTTAAGCCTGTAATTATTATTATTTAATTTTTAAGTTTATATTTTCCAAAGCTTCAAAATATGTATTTAAATAAATACTTTACTTCCTTACATGATGTAATAAATTTTTCGAAATGTACACAGAGACAACTATGAGAAGGATATGGAAATAATTAACAGTATTCAATATCAAAGAACATAAAACAATACAAAAACATCAGTGGTCGG